GACGGGCTAACTTCTCTAAGATCAAAGAAGAGACATGTCCACCCCCATTAAAGCGCACATCAACAATTAGGCCATCTCGATCACATTCTGGCAAAAACAAACGATGGAACTCTGAGTACCCCCAGGGCCCCATATCGGGAATATGAACATATCCAATAGCCCCTTTAGATTTTTCATGAACATACGTTCGATTTTTCTCTACCCAATCACGATAACGGGCCGGAAAATCATAAGACAAAGGCTTCACAAGTACTGTTTTCCTCTTGGAGTTTTTCTTATCGCCCTTGCTTTCATAGACCTCTAAGGAGACTTGACGATCCGCACTATTGACTAAGCTCATTTCAGGGCGATGTTCTTTTGTAAGAGTCTGCCCATCAATCGCATAGAGAAAATCCCCTTCGTTTAATCCAACACCTGGGGCAATCAATGGAGAGTGATGGCCTGATTTCCAGGTATCCCCTCGCGAGATATCTTTGACACGATAAGCGTTTTCTTTGTCATCATAGACAAACTTGGCGCCAAGAAGGCCTTGGCGATATCGTGGAGAGCGTTTTAGATCTCCCCCTACCACATACGCATGAGATGTCCCCAACTCTCCCTGCATTTCCCATAAAAGATCTGTGAGTTCTGAACGCGCACCAATACGCTCTAATAAGGGTTCATAACGATTTTTAACCCTCTTCCAATTCACATCTGACATATCTTCAATCCAGAAAAAATCTTTCTGTAGACGCCATGCCTCATCAAAAATTTGTCGCCATTCCTGTAGAGCTGAAATAGAAATATCGACTCGAGACAAATCAATCCAACCTCTCTTCGCAGGAGGCGCTTCAGGATCATCTTCCCCCTTCTCACCACTTTTTAGAACACGAATATCTCCGTCCATGTCTACATAAGACATCCACTCACGATCTGCAGAAACCCCCGCAAAACCTGAAATATTTTGGGCGACCTCATCAACCTTGTGGGTTTCAAAATCATAAGATAAAAGCACACCAGCCTGTTCAGGGCGCGATTCTTCAATAACGTCCTCTAACGTTCCAGACTGCCCAAAAGCTGTAAACAAAGCTTTCCCTTTCACCCCCAAAATCTGACCATAAATCCCATCCCTTACAGGAAAGGGCAGAATGCGATTTTGAATTCCTTCAAAATCAATCTTGACTTTTGGATCGTGTTTTTTTGTATCAGGACTTTCTTCTTTTTCACTTCCCGTTTCTTCCGCACGGCTGAGCCCCTTAGGGTGCTCAATGAAGGGCGAAAGCAGGTCTTTTTGCAGCAAAATAACATAGGGACGCATACCTCGAGGAAAGGAAAGATCAAAGTGAACCGTGTCATAGCTTGGATCAAACTGGCGCCCCCCTAAGAAATACAAATATCGCCCACAAGGAGAAAAGCTTGGCGCTGTATCTTTTAAAACAGGCTGTGTCACTTCATGTATTTTACCTGTTGAAACTTGAGCGATTTTAATAATGCTAATATGACGAGACGTTGCCGCGCTATAAGCAATCCATTGACCATCTAAAGACCAATCTACACTCTCGATCGATTCAAAGAGGCTCTCATCTAAAACTTTTACCTTAGGCTTCTTTTTTATTAGATCAACATGAATGAGTTCCCCCCTATGGTTTGTCAGCGCAAGCTGTGGCTTACGAGGAGATTCTTTTAGCGTTAAAATATGACCAATATCTTTGTGGTCCACAATGCATTCGGGAGTTGTCCCTCCAATACGATATATCTCTATCGTGTCACGCTCTTCTCCTGTTCGAACCAAAGCAACACGTTCACCATCATTCAACCAAGCGCTTTGTCGATAACGCGCGGCTGTTTCTTTCCCGCCTAAATAAAGGGCGCCCCCTTCCCAATTCGGTAGTGCAACAGCCTTTCCACGGGCCGATAATGCAAGATGATGACCATTTGGGTGAAGTGCACAGCACTCTAAATAACTCCGAACTCCGACAAATTTACGAGCCCTCTGAGGACGCGCACTCGGATAAGAAAACTCGACTTTGCGGCTTTGGCGAAGCGCTGGATCAAAGACATAAAGGTCTGCTCCTGCATGGTAAGCAATCTTCTTTCCATCCGTAGACGGTTGACGCACATAAAATTCCTTATGTTTTATTTCTGTCCGTAAATCTTTCCCCTCAATTGTACAGGAATAAAGGCCACCTATTCCTTCATGATCCGACAAGAAATAAATTCGGTCCTGTAACCAGAGAGGAGAAGATAGATTACCCTCTAGCGCGATCAAAGGATGAAATTTTCCTTTCCCAACAGGGTCAACCCAGAGTTGCCCTGCTGTTCCCCCACGATAACGTTTCCAGTGGCTATAATCTTTTCCCCCATGGCGTTGAATCACACAAGCCCACGTCTTCCCGTTTGACGCAAAAGAAATCTCGTTCGCGTGCCCTACTTTCAGGCGGCTTAAGTCTCCTGTTTT